TACCCAGTCTATTAGATAAATAACTGGATAGCTTTTGAATCTTTCGAAGATGAAGTCAGAGCACTCTGAAAAGTAATAACAAGAAGAGAGGCACAATAACTCAGAGGCACAGTAACTGTACTAATACATGACATGTTTTACGTGATTCATGCAAGAGGAACTAAGAAATTAACTGAAGAACTGACAAGAGGACCAAGTATTGACTGAAATTATGGAAATAGTTATGAGTGGGACAGACTGGCAAAGCGGAGCTGGAGGGAGAGAAACATTTTAGTGCATGGATGATGTGCTGTTGTGAATGGATGAAACAGTAAGGTTACTCTTGAAGTCTTCCATAGCACCAAATTATTGACAGTTTAGAAGAAATAATTCTTGGGCATTCAGAAATAATTCCTAGTTTGCAGTAAGATCCTCATACATAAAAATGATAATGCAAATGGTTCTTAATTTACAGTAGTTTTATTTCTTAGTTTGAAAGAACAAGAACTTCCTTGCATTCTAATATGAGATTCTTGAATTAAGCTAGGTTTTTTCAGCAATGTTAGAAACATAAAATAATTGAAAAGACACTTAATTACTCTTCTATATGTTATGAAGGGAAAAAATATTTCCTAATAGGACCTAAAGGCTTCTATAGGGATGTAGGCACGGGAAGGAGAAACTTCCACTGATTATATATAAGGTGGATACTGCCAGAAGTCCTTCACCCTGAATGTAGTGTCAGGCCTCCTGATGTTTTGCTGCTGTTGAAATCACTGTTAGTAGTTATGCCAAAAACGACAAAAAAGTGATGATAAAAGCTTTACCTATAGTGCGTCCTTGCCTTTTGACATTTTTAATGGTTGTTGTTCAGTCCCCTCCACATGTCACTGGAAGCCAGGCCTGTGCATCTCATTCTGACTGTACATTAATCTGGACTGAAGGGTTTGTGCTCTGCCTTCGGTGCACAGAGGGGAATTTCCAACACTCTAGAATTGGAAACCAGGATTCTCTGGGGTTTGCACACTCCCTCACTGGTGCCAAAGTTGGGAAGAATATTTTGAATGTATATTTTTCTTGTGGCACATGATATATTTTCAGCTTTGTGAGATGTTTGGCTTCTTACAAAAACAATTTCCTTATTACTGTTACTGTTGTGATAAATAGGTGTGATTCGTGCTGATAAAATTGAAACAGTAATCAATATGGATATAGTAATTAATATTTAGAGATAACAAAATAAATTATTGTTATATTTAATTTTGTTTGGCCTTTTATTTGTGATTGGATAATTGGGCAAACATAACACTGTCATCAACACAACTACAGAGAATTAGTAGATTCAGAATTATTTGTTGTTAAAAAAGGCGGTTTAGATGCAAACAATCTTTGCTAGCAGTCATGCCTAATAGTTTACTACAGAAATGATAGCGCAAATATTATCCAGGAATAATATTAACCATTAAAGGATGGCAGGTTCATTAGCTTATCAAAGAAACTTCCATTGTGAAGGGTCATGTGGAAGAAATGTGATAAAGGCTCCATATAGGGGTACCATTGATCTGGACAAACAGGATAATATGTAATAACATAATAAGATATTATAATGCATGCAGTTCTTACCTCCTTGGATATGCAGGCACTCATTATGAGAGAGAGAATTAAAGAAACAAGAATGACATTAAATTACCTAAACACACATGGAAATTAACATTAATAGTACATTTTTGAAGTGACCTGTGATAAAACACGTAGGAGATGAATCATATTGAAACTAAACATTAGATAAGTCACTGTTCAAGGTTTATCTGGGGTCTTTTAAGCTACTTCTCAGGAAAACATTCTTTGCAATACAGACTGCAAAATTTGTTGTGTCAGAACTGTTATGCGTAAACTGCAGTTTCTGGAGAGAACATGGAGTAGGAGATAAAACTGCACTTCTGGCAGTGAAAGCCAGTGAAAAATCCCATATTGTTCCACTTTCATTTTCTAAAAGCAGAACAAAAGATTTATCTGCTTGTCTCTTCTCAAATATTTGCAGTCAGTTATCCAGTTGAAAATAGGACATAAAATCTGAATAGCTTTGTCTTCCAACTATTTATATCAAATACTTATATACATAATGAGTTTTAAAACTCTTGGTTTTTACTTTGTACCTTTTTCCCAAATCATATAATTGGTCTGCAAGAATTCAATGTAGTGCTCTATGGTAATTTTTTGGGAAGCACTTGAATGCAGGAGTATGCACTCTTTTCTTGAGAAAATGTATCCTGGGAGAGTCACCAGTTCTCCTCAGGATAGGCTAAAATCCAAAGGAGTCTTGATTAGCAGGAAAAAAAATATCCAAAATCAATCAGGTAAAATAATTATGGACTAGTTGAAGTCAAAATAAAAAGGAAGGGGAAAAACACTAAAATGGTGAACAAAAAAACCTGTCTGGGCTGCATTTATGCAGTTCAAAAAACATGCAATATGCCTGGAAATTTTAGAGAAATTGAAACAGAGCCAACCACATGAAAAAGGAAAGGAGTGACGTGTGAGTATGACTTAAAGGAGTGGTGTTTGTAAGAAACAAGAGGCAACTCTTTTACTAACTGCAGTGAATGCTCAATGTATTGACTCCATTTTGTGACTTTATTTTTTAAGAAGGATCATAAAAAGAAAACAATATAAACAAGGGACCTGTGAATTGTATTAGGTATCAGCTGTCAGAGGAACCTTGAGGAGTCCTCTGCAGTGACTAAGGCTTCACAGCCTGGAAAATGCTGCCACCAAGAGCAGGAAAAAGACATTATTTCAGTTTTCAGGCAGGCCTCTTCTGATGACCAATTTGGAGAAAAAAGCATGAAGAACTCCAAGTGTTTAAAAATGAAAACAGCCTGCCAAGCTAAACTCTGCCACTGGAATTAAGTTCAAAGTATTTGTCAGGAATGGCAAAAGTAGATGTGATCCTGCACAGGGTTGGGAGGATGGCACAGGTGCCTTGGGAATGTGCTTTACAGCCTCTTTCTGTCTGGAGGGATGATTTAGGCTTCATCATTATTACTAAAAAAGCAGCCACCAAGCTTTTGATGTCACCTGCTTTGGTTTGTCAATCATTTTCATACACATGAGCTGTCATCAGCGTGCTGAAGGTTTTGATAACACATTTGCTACCAGCTGTAAACACTGCAGGTTGCTCTTGCCTGACTGCACAGAAACAGAGCTCTCCCATCACAGAAAAGTGCATGTTTTATTTGTAATGTCAAAATGACACCAAAAAAAAGAAAAAAATCAGATGGTTCAGTGAGCACAGTGAAAAATCTTATGAACAGCAACAGAGCTAAATGAGGAGGACACAGTCTCAGAGCAATATTCCTTCACTGCTCTGCCTTAAAGCACACCAGGCAGGAATAACTATAATAATGTTTTAGAAGCCTTTTGACACAAGCAGAGCAGGTTTTAGACATATACATCCCATGGCAGTGTGCCTGTTACAGTCCCCTATTCAGTCTGCGCAGCTAATTAATTAACTACTTGAAATGAAATGGTCACATCCACACTGTTCTGGTGGGTTTAAACAACAGCAACCACCAAAAAAGCCCCAACAACAACAAGACTGGAAAAAAAAAATAAAAAATCCCAGCCAATTTTATTTCTAAATTTGAGGTATTCCAAAATCCACAAATATGACCAAAATATTGGTAAATGATAACAAAAGCTTGGGTTCTGAATGAAAATAACATCCAGGCAATTTGTGTAGCAACTGCCATCCTGCTGATCTTACCTGCTTCTTTAAGTATGACAAGGAAACATAGCGGGGGAAATTGAAAAAGAAAAAAAAAAAAAAAGTGTCCCGTGGCAGGGGTATTTTTCCTTTTACCCAAAATAGGGAAAATTTATTCAGAGCAGGGTACAGCAGTGAATTACCACAATTGACAAATCAAGCTCTGTTTCCAGCTGGAGAAGGACCCTTTACGCAGCTGGCAAACCTCTTTGCCGTTCCCACCAGGTGGCACCTGGCAGCAGGGACAATTCCGTCCATGTGTCTGCAGTGACTCAGAAAATATCGAAGCAGCCGAACTCTTAAAAAAATATCAGGAAAAAAACTGTTAGAAGGCTAACACTCCGCATAAGCCTGGAAATTTCAGAGAAATTGAAACAGAGCATTAGCCAACCACATGATGCGGTGAAAAAGGAAAGGAGTGACGTGTGGGTATGACTTAAAGGAGTGGTGTGTGTAAGACACAAGAGGCAACTGTTTTATTAACTGCAGTGAATGCAGTTAATAAAACGCACTCTGATTTTTCACTCTGCATAAGCCTGGAAATAACCTTTACTCTTACTGACTGAAGCGTGCTCACTTCCATGACTCGGAGTTGCTCCGGTAGCTCAGGATTCTGCCTTAGGATCTGTGAGGAGGCGATGTGACCTGTTTCCTCTTATCTAAGGGAAGAAAGTTGCCTTGAGAGTTTTCTTTGGGAGGGCCCCTGATGTGCTACTGTAGTCCTTAGTCTACATTCGTTTGTAGATAAACGTGCCAATATCAGCTGTGAAAGAAACTTTTTGACTACTGATTGCTTCCACAATTAGGCCACTCAGGGTCCAGGAAGTGCTGCTGATGGGGAGCCTGGATAATTTATTTGTGAAAGATCCAAGCTGAGCGTAAGTCATCTAAACGAGCTGGAGGTTAGTTGTATTCTAATACTGGTTGGGAGATACAAACTGATATATGTGTACACAAATACGTATGTGTGGGTCTGTTTCTTTTTCTACAGAAGTACGCATTTATATACACAGGGTTTTCTAGAGGTGTCATAATAAGAGAGGTTTTAACTACAGGCTTCTGCATTTTAGTATCTTTGCCAATTTGGAAAGTTATAGGGAGAGTCAGCCAAAAGGTGATAGCAAAAACTGGCGATTTCCTACTCTGGTTCCTGTGGTTAGCTTGCTTATCTCCTGAGAAAACTATGTGAATGATCATTCTGTGAGGATAGCAGTGACGTTTCACTTTCTGGGTAAGGCTGGGCGGCAGTTCCTTCCACTGGAAAGCAGGGAGTTGGCCTCAGCAGTTGATCACATGCAGACCAGTTAACAACTGGTCTTGGAAACGCCACACTGGCACTTAAACCGGTCTTCCCAGCACGGTGGCTTAAAAGGAAACCTGCATTTGCTGATCCTGAAGACAGGTCACATGTGGCTCCGAGCAGGGTTTTGGGAGCAGGCAGCAGTACTGGGCTCATGGTGAGGACAGCAGCAAGGGGAACTGAAAGCTCTCTCTGCTCTTCTCTTATCAGGCCAGCCCCAGCGTGTCCCTGGCTCTTATCAGCCCTGGCAGAGCCGGTTTCTGATGCGCTGAGCCTCTAAAGCCCCGCCACAGGGTGCTGCAGGGCCTGGCCCCGCTGCCTCCTGCTTGCACTTAAAGGGGCTGAGAAGCACCTTGTGACATATGGGGACAAGGCAGGGCAGTGGTGACAGACCGTGAAGGGAGACGATGTTGGACCTCATCATCCTCACCGTTCATTTCTTCATCTGCTTTCTCATCTCCATTGCAATCTGGTATGGACCAAAGGTACAGTGCAGCCCCCCGAAGCCAGGGAGACACCCCATCCTCCCCACATCCATGGTTCCCCTTTCTGTGTTTATGAAGACCTGGTTTAGCATTATTTTTCTGAGGAACCAAGGTTGTATTGGGCATTTGGGAAGACCGGGAACACAGCAGCTAATTGCAAGTAAATTCAAAGGGAAGGTTGCTTTCATAAAACTGCTTATATTCTCTCTTGTGAGAGGAAGAGTCTGCTATATGTTTGAAATATGTAAGAGGAGGGAAGGAAAGGCAGGAACATTTGCTAGAAATGTCAGGTTGAATACTGCTTCTCAATAAAAAATGTTTTCTTTCCTTTGCAGAATTTTAATCACTTTATATTTCTAGTCATACTATTATGTAAGAGTATTTGATTTACATGTAAATGTTACCTGTTGCATACCTGAACTGTATAGTATTTTACATTTGCCATCCTTACATTTGTTTGCACGTGGGTTTTGAGGGGTGAAAGTGGTTTAGGTGCAGAGTAAACTAATAGTGATTGAGAGTTTATCTTGCCTGAGCCTCAGGTATCTGGTTTCCAGCAGCTGGTTTTCCTTGTCCTGTCAGTTCTGTTAGTGAACACGCTAACATCACCAAGCTCTTGTGCTTTTCTAACTCTCCATGTTGATAGTCTTTCACTGAAACCTTTTCTCCCTCTCCTCTCTTGAAATCCAATGTGAATTGCTTTGTAAGTGACCTTTTCATTTATTTGCCCGTGCGTTTTAAGGATGTGGATTCACACAGCTCAAGCACAGGAGGAGCTGAAATGGAGCCACATGGTCTTATATTCATTGGCAAAGAAGAGGACATAAAGAAATCTCAAAGAATCACAGCCAAAATCGATGGCAGAGAAATCGTTGTTTTCTACCATGAGGGGAAATTTCATGCTCTGGATTCTCGCTGCTACCGTAAGATATTTGCCTGTGTGATCTCAGTGTTAGAATTAAGCGTAAAATCTGCTGCATAAAATAATATGGTATTCTTTCCTTTTTCAGACGAAGGAGGCCCTTTATGTCGTGGAGAAATAGAGGTATGTAAGCAAAATAAGAATAATGCAGAGGCATAGAGTCATGTGAAAACTCTATTGCATTTTTTGTAATGCTTTAATCTGAACATCATACAGAAAAAACCAGTCATATACATATAACTTCAGACAGTCATACAACCAAACATACCTTTTGTCCTAGAAGATGACTTGCTATCTTTTCTTCTTCTTCTTCTTCTTCCTGCAGGATATCGATGGACAAGCATGTATTGTTTGTCCTTGGCATAAGTTTAAGATCACCTTGGAAACAGGAGAAGGATTGTATGAAGGAATAAATCCTCAGGAGCCATCACCAACACCAAAGTGGCAGTCAAAAGGAGTCAAACAAAGGATTCATAAGGTCACAACAGACAATGGAAATGTTTATGTGAATCCTCCAAATTTGTCTGTGAGTTTTGACTCTGATTATTTTGCTGAAAAGTACAAAATTGGTGGTGAATCAGCTATCGGAAAACCAAGCCGCTTAGAAGCCATGGAGTAGGTCATGGACAGACAGCAGAATCTTGGGGAATGAACAAATGAAGAATCTTTGTTGGGAAACAGAAATGTACTGTGCCATGAAGATTGTCTCAAAATTAAAATCTAATATTTTTATGTTAAAGCACTGAAAAACATAGAAATGATAAAGATAAGATGCCCTGCATTGTCAGAAATATGACTGATTTTGTGCTGAGGATTTTTTTTTGCACTTGCATTTCAAACAAACTTAATTACAGCAGAGTGCCTCACAATATTTGATATTTTGCTAGAACTATTTTAATTTTAAGAGGGGATATAGTATACTACTGCTTATAAACATTGCTTCACAATTAAAAGTAGATAGGTGTAAAGGTTATCTTTATATACTTAACAGTTTATACTTCTAATGCCTGTAGTAAAAATGACATGGAAATTTCTACTTTTTGAGATATTTGTGTGATCTCTAGTCATTTATTAAATGCCACAAAGTGAAGCACAGAACTTCAGAATATTTTGGGGCAGTCTTTTATGCCTATTTGTGCATTACTACATTGAGTATATAGAGGTGTTTCTTTTCCTTCTTCTCACTGAATTCCTCTTGTTAGTTCATTGAAAAATGCAGCAAGGATTTATTACGTATAGCTTGTTCTTCCTGGTTCTATTGGTTAAAGAGGTGTTGATGATTCCTCGCGTGTGGAGACATGAGGCTTGACTCCATTTCAGAAGGCTGATTTATTATGTTAGATATTATATTAAAATGCTACATTAAGACTATACTAAAAGAACAGAGAGATCAGAAGGCTCAACAAGAAAGAACAGAACAGAATAGAATAACAAAAATGCTGTGACTGCTCACAGCCTTGGCACAGGTGGCTGTGATTGGTCATCAATGGAAAACAATCCACATGGACCAATCACAAATGCGCCTGTTGCATTCCACAGCAGCAGATAGTAATTGTTTACATTTCTCTCCTGAGGCTCCTCAGCTTCTCAGGAGAGGAAAAATCCCAGCAAAGGATTTTCCATAATATCATGGCTACAAAGAGGGAGCTGTTTGGTGTGGTATGTGAACTAGTGGCCCTTGTTTGCCTGTTTTTCTTTATTGTAACCACAGTTTTCTACTTTCATTTGAAAAAAAAAAAAAAAAAAAAAAAAAAAGTGCTTTCTGTGTAGAGGTAAAACCTGTGTTTTTCTCTGTGCGTTTGCTGTCCAATATCAGATCTGCCCCAAAAACCAGTTATAAGGAAGTTTCTCTCTGAGCTCTGCTGTACTCCAGGTTGTGGTGGGTTCTGCTGTTCAGCCTGTGAAGTGCAGAGACAGAACACAGAGCACCACAGAATAACTGAGGCTGGAAAACGCCTCTAATACCATCAAATCCAACCATTAATCAGCACTGCCAAGCCCACCACTAAACCCTTTCCCCAAACGCCACACCTACACCTCTTTTAAATACACCATTCTGCACGGCTGAAAATTCTTCAGTGTGGGTTTTTTTGTGTGATTTGTTGCTTTTTTGCAAAGTTCATTCATACCCAGGTTCAGTTTGAAATGCCTGCTCTCCATCTCTAAGTTCCTCTTGTGTTTGCAGCAGGCTGTCTTGCTTGTAATGTATGTCACAGGTAACTAGGCCTGTGTCAACACTGTTGTTGGTACAAATGTTGTTAGAAGTAGTGAGGCACAGGGAAGAGTCAAAGGAAAATTTGTACTGCATTTATCACAACAGAAAAAAAAAAAACCAAAGTACACAATCAATTAATTTCACTGCAGCTAAAATGAGAGGAAACCTCCTCTGGTCATACCTCCTTGACATGGTTTTTGCAGTTGTCAGGGAAAAATGTCACCTTGAAAATGCTGTTGAGCTGACCTACCCCAGTTCTGCATTTTATAAGAACTACAGCACGGAAATGCTTTTCTTGTCATCCTCCTCTTCCTCCTCCTTCTCTTTCTCTCCCTGACCACTCAGCAAGCCAGTGCCAATGATCAGATGCAAACGCCTGCTTTCTGTCAGGTGAATCACGTCTTGATTATCTGCTAGAAAATGCTGTTCTGCACTGACCAGCTCTGTGATTTGTTGGGCTTTACTACAATTTGTTTGCTTTTAAATGAATATGTCAGCTTCTCCTCTTGAAGTCACTAGGTAGATGGCAGGAAGGTGGAACAGGTACCTTGCTGCCATACACCTCAGCTGGTGCCCCAAGGGGCTTGGGTGGTGTCAGGGAGATGGAGAATTGCTGCCTTTCCCTCTCTCTTCACCCAGCTACCTGCACCTGATATTAAACTTGACCACAGATATTGTGTCCTAGTAAAAGACATGGACCATGTAAAAGGAGAGTATTTCAAGATCTTCAGATAGACCTGCATTAGCTCATGTGTTTGCTGAGATAGTATTTTTATTGACATTTCTTGAAGTAGTGCATTGCCAGAAATTGACCCTTTAAATTAATAAAGATGCAGCTCAGTTTAAGAAAGCACTGACTCTGAACAATACGCTATTATCTGTATGATGCTTAGAAGAATAATAAAAATAGGGAGTTTTATTTGAAAGCTTCATGGATGTGTTCATGCTAGTGGAAGAGTGCTCAGGATTCTGCAGAATTGCATTTACTGTCCAGAATTCAGGAAAGCGTTTAATCATGGACTTATGCTTAATCATACTGAATAAATGCAACTGCATGTCCAGGCATAGGTAAATCCTTTTTCTCCAGTAGTTCTCTTGCATCATAACTATCTGCAAGAGTTTATGGTTATTTTGCCTCTTTTTTTTTTTCTTAAGTGCTCCTTCCCAGGAAGGTTGTGTTAATTTAAAATCTAAAGCTTGCCCATTAGATTTCCTTCCCCTCAATTTTCCTGTTGATGATCACAGAAGGAACAGAAAATTATTAACTCAGGCAGCTGTGAACAGAGCAGGGAAGGTTGGTGGGCTGTTAGTTTTCTATTTTGTTTTACCTTTTCACCTTTCTGTTTTTCCCTCTTTCCTTTTCATTTCTTTTTTTCCTTTTTCTTCTTTTTTCTCTTTTGTCTTTTATTTTTATTTTTGACAGCAAATAACAAAGCCTCTCTTTCAACATATTAAAGTCATTACCTTTAAAAAAAAATGCATGCACCATTCTGAGCTTTGAAGTGCTAGACTATGCACCTAATTTGAAAATAATTTAAATATTTAATGTCCTACAGTTGAACACTCTGAGTCTATCTTTCCAGCCCTTTCTAGGTTCCTAGTTATAGTGGTACAAGTGCATGGAGACAGGGAAAGCACAGGGAGGGAGACAAGGAGTGGTTAAGTCAAGGCAATGATGCTAATGTGGCATTTAAGGAACAACGAAGAGGCAGAAGGAATGAGTAGCTGTGGGCAAGACGTCAGTGAGTTAGCGGCTGGATAACTACCCTTTCCCACACAGACGTGTTAAGGACAGCGATCAACCAAGCCATTCCGGAAAAGTGTTTTGTTTGTGGGGAGGGAAGTTTAGTTTAATTTGACAAAAATACTGTCTGTTTTTCATCACAGATCAGCCAGGCAGGAAGCAGAGTAATACATTCTGTTCTTTGGAAGGAAAATCTTTGTGACGATTCTGCAAGGCATTCAGTCTCTATAATAAGCAAGAAACTTGAAAACAATAAATATGTTATGTTATGCCATCATGGAATCATCTTTTCTAGAAAGACGGGTGAAAACTGTAGCAGTTTGAAGTGCAGCGTGAGCCTTGACCGGATGAGCCTGCGCTGCGACCCCTGATTAGACGGTGTTGACTGTAAGGTGGCATTGTGCTCTTCCTTCTATTTGTAGTGCCTTGTTTTGCAATGCTCCCCTTATTAAATTAAGGACCCTTTCAATGTAAAACGTGCCATTAAGCTGGGACTGAGAAGTTCATTATGGAGCATAAACTTGGGGGAAAACAGTTTGCAGGATGGCAGGACACAGAGACAGAAAAGTGTTCATTCTGTAGGAAAGCAATTTTTAAAACAGTCTTTCACCACTGAAGCCCTTTTCAATAGCTTTGTGCAGTTCGTAATTTTATACTTAATATTGGAAAGAAATCAGATCTAAATTTTTTATCTCTGGTTCCTGAAATCAGAAATATCTGGTTCCTTGCTGCTGGTACAAACACGGACTGTGAGAGTCAGTTCACTGACCCCCATCCCTCTGCCCCACTGGCTTGATGCAGCGGCGGCTGGCCTCCAAGGGGAAAGCGATTGCCCCTTCAGGATGTCCTGGCCAGCTGTGGCCAGCACCACCAGCAGCACTGGGGCACTCTCCCGATCCTTGCTCCAGTCAGGAAAGCACCAAAGGCTTTTGCCTTGAGGGACGAGGATCTGCAGAGAAAGGGCTGCAACCCAACAGGAGGAAAAGAGACGGACTCCAGCGGTAGTGTAACCCTGATTTATTGGCTCCAGACAAACTGACAGCTGAACACCCCAAACTGAAGTCTGACACTAACTTTTAAAGAGGAGAAGATACAGAGATGGAGTCAGCTCTTCAACTAATCAGCGAAAGGGTGGGAGTGGGGAGAGGGTGACGGACACAATGGAATAACCAATAGGAAAAAACCTAGGGAGGGGTCCTGGCCCCCGAACCAATCACTCGATGCCCTGGCTAGAAGATTCTAGAGGAAAAGGATGGGCCGCCGAGTGACAGACAGGGCACCAGGGAGGGACTAAGGAACTGATACCTGGGTCGCTAATGGGAACGGGGAGGGAAAACTGGACTGACTGGGCGAGTGAGGGGAGAGAGAGCCAGGGCAGAACCACTACAAACACAGGGGTACATGGAACAAACCAATTTACAACGTAACCGGGCTAAGGCATATGAAACACACCACAACAGCTTGACAACTTCTTTCCGTGGTTACTGGGGGAAGCAGGGGATGGGGAATGGAAATAATACTAGTGGAGAGGTCCTTCAGCCTTTGTGTGTGTGTGGGGAGGCTGCCCTTCGCTGGCAGAGCCCTGCGAGAGCCTCTGCCACTGCAGACGCGGCTGGGGCTGCACATGAGGTGTCCAGGGTCATGGCTTTCTGCTGGGCCAGCAAATTCAGCCAGCTCCATCAGCAGATGAGCAGGCGCTGTGCTGAGAGAGGCAGGAGTCAGTGAGGTTTCAGGGCATGTGGCAGGCAAATTGGGTCAATTCTTCAAACTCCATTCTGCGAACGCTGTTTTTGATGTGGCATTTATTCATGCAAACCCATGGATTTCATTAAGTGGATTTTTTAGCTGAATGAAGAGTTGCGCACGGTTTTCAGCCTTTGCCACCTATAAACTACTGAAGCAGACTAAAATGAAGGTGACAGTTTTGCCTGTGGGTAAGAAAAACTGGAAAATCAGTGTAGATGTCCTAATTTGCCCATTTGTGACTCTTCCTCCATGAGATGAAGAGTTCCCTGACAAGCACTACTTGAACAGTGGAATTGTTCTCCTGAAAGGTGTCAGAGAAATGTGGTTTATTGTTGCCAACAACAGTAGTTAGAAGTTCAAGGTTTATGAAGACAACTCCAGAAATAATTAT